GTTCCTGCGGTCAGTTTCAAATTAAAATCTTTCTCTAATTTGAAGCAAACATTGTACTAATGCTATTTAATTAAACGTATTCATGCAATCAAAATTGGCACAATTAGCACTTTCGACTCTAGAGCTCGTTGATTAAATCTCATTTGTCATGTTCCACGAAAAAGTGCAGTTGGAGGTTAATCTGCCATCTTTTGACGTCTGTGTATAAAATCATGGGTAGTCTATAATTAGTGCTCTGTAACAGCCTTATGCAAGAAAAACTGAGATCACATGATCAGATCCAAAGATTTATATTTTTAGAAAAATTCTTCCTGGTTATAAATGTGTCTCAAAATGGTCATCAATTCAAACCCGTAGATCACGGTCACCTTTATGTAACTCCAGATAATGAAAACAAATCCACTGGTCTTATTCATGCTCACCTAGACATTGTTTCTATGAAGTTGGAGAGTTAATTTACCTTTGCCCTCTGGCACATTTTACAAGAAACTTTTAAAACTGCGTTGTTGCAGTTCAAGTTGCTGCTCTGGTCCTCGTGCTGGGATTTGGGCGACGAATCTGGTCGTCTCATGTCACATTAAATGATATGAAAATGTATTTCTCTTCATTGTGAGCAAATTAAGAAACAAATGTGTGTTGTGATGTCTGGATGTCAAACATATAGACATTTTAATCCCATTTATACTGATGATTTCATGGACAGTATGGGACATTGCTACCCTTTTAAACATTTTCCTCCATTATGGCCTTGACTCCTGCATCACACATTTTATTTGCCAACATCAAGACTTTTATGGATAAAACCTCTACATGTTCCAAATCGGTTTCTAGTGTTTTGTCTAGCCAAAGATTTGCTCTTGCTTTTATGACCTAAACTCTGTGTTTTGACTGCTGTGTTACGTTTGGATAAGATTGTGAAATGAAGAGGTGAGATGAATAAATATAGAAGACTGTGAAGACGAAGCCTCTGGCTGAGATGCAGCAGCTGTTTCATTACTTCCCAAGCCTAAAACAAACACTTCTGTTTTGTGTTTCAGTCCAGCCATTTTCATGCTGCTTCTGTTATTATTTTTATTTTAGACTTTAACCTGCAAAGCTTTTGAAACTGCCACTGCATTGGTTTGATTTGTTTTTTTTTTGCGCTCCCATTAAACTACGAGTAATCACGGAAACAATTTAGTCAAACAGGCTATTATTGTTAAATGATTAGCCACATTTCTCTTGAGCAAAATACTGTATTCATACTCCTTTGATGTTTAAGTGTAATAAATGGAAAGTGTTTTTAAACTCAGGGTAATCGTGTTAAATGGTTGTGATTTTTCCATTGAAGATTAGAACTGTGGTGATTGTTTTCATACAACCATGCACTGCTCAAACTGCAATTACTTGTCATTAGATTATGCCTCCTCCCATGAATAATCAGAAAGACTGTTTTCTCTTTTTGCGACAGCATCTAAACATTTAGTTATCTAATTGAAATTCACACAATCTTCAGTCCTTCTTGCTTTATGTTCTTGTTTCTGCATTCAAGATGTTTTGCTCAGTGAAAAGCAGTGAAAGTACTGTCCTAGAAAATCTTTTCCATTTTAAATGGTGCTTTAGATGTCATTGTTGACGATCTGTGTGTATATCTATTCAGTTTGTGGTGTGAGGTAATTCAGCAGTGCATTATTGTATCAGGACGAGCCATTAAGCATACATTTGTTCAGACACCTGACATTTAAGTCAAAGTCTTCTTACAGCAGAGCTTTTTCTTTTTGAAGCTTCACTGAGGGGGACGGGTGACGTTAGATGGCCGTAACAAGTGAGTGTCTATTGATTTTATTTGTCCAGTTTGCTCCCTGCTGTTGCGTTTTTCTTTAAAAGCATAAATCCATCAAATCTCTTGTTAATGATCAGTGGTGATCTGCAGTGCAGCACCGTTTCGAACATGATCGGCGTATTCATCGGCACAAACTTTGGCATCATTTCCAAAAGCTTTATGTTGCATTTTCTTGGTGGACGTCCACTTGTCGATATTTCATGAACGTAAAAATGCTGCTCAATCGAAGCGTAACGGGTTTGTAAGCCAAGGTTTTAAAATCGATCATAAATCCTCCTGTTGTGTGTAATGGGCTCCACTTTGATTCAGGCAATCTTTTTGTAAGAGAAGGCGACACGTTTACAGCACCTGAACCTGCATTAATGTAATGAAAGTCTTCAAAGGAAACCTGGTCATTTCAGCAATATCTCTCCTGTCAATAAACCCTGAAAATTAGCGACACAGCAGTATGCTTGTTAGTATTTTGTTTTTGATGTTGCAGCTATTCACTGATGCGTGTTTTTTTTTTTTTTTTTTTTATTGCACAAGTTTAAAGTGCTGTCTCTGTTGCGACCAAACTTTTATTTCTTCAGTTTGTTGGCCATTACTGTGCTGTATCTGCAGACTGGTCCACTTCATCGACGCATGCTTGAGTTATAGCTGAACACGTTAAAACAAAAATGTTTACACAAATTGTATGAAAAAGGAAACCCAGATGATAAGTTAATAAGTTGAGTCACAAGACTAGTTTTAAAGTGGAGCATGTCTGTGACTGTATTTTGCCTCAAATGCACTTCATGTTTCACGTACAAATCAAAAGAAACTGGCCAATATATCAAGGAGAACTTTGCAGACCTCCATAAGATTGGTTCAATTTCTATATTCTTGAAGATGGGACGTTTATCTGTTAGGTGCAAGTTTATATAGCGTGACAGCATCCAGCCATCACTCTTCAGGAAGGAGACGAGTTCTGTGTCTGGGATGAACAAGTTTACCATTAGCCCAAAAACAAGAAAAACAAAATACACACACTGAAGGTGAAATGAGTCCTACCTGCACGAGCTGACATGCCACTCAACAAGGAAGATTTAGTTAGTCTAGAAGTACCACAAACAGCCTGATTACAGTTTGCACATGTTGGAGAGACCTTAATTTTTGAAGACCTTTGTTATCTGATTAAACTAAATTTAAAGTGTTTGGTCGTAACAGCTATCCCTATATTTACAGGAAAAGTTGGATTTTCTTTTTAGTAGTAAATCTTAGAATAGAATTGGATATGTAAGGAAATGTGTGCTTATGTCTAAGTTCATAAATATATTGGAATGATTTTGGTTATCCAAACGGACCTGAAACCAGTGACAGAAACTGAAGGGTAAGAGATGAAGGTGAGGAGGTGAATTCTCTCCATCAGATGGTGACAGTCCTACCTGCTCTCTCCTCTACTTCACCCTTTGACTACAGTTTCTGCCAATGCCAATTGCTCCAAAAAATATAATCTTGTCAATACCAGCCGAACATAAAGGCCTGAACTGCCCAAGTCCCTCATACATGGAGAATTTACATTCTGTTGCTCTAAGGCTACAAGATCAGCGATGGGCCCATATTTCCTCTTTATCACAGCTAACTAGAGATGGGCTGACAGCAGTAAGGGCTTCAGTGGTACCATAGATCAGTACTGGTCCATCTGCTTGTCATGTCTGATTGGGGCATAAATGTAACTGGCTTTCTTTTAAAGTCACCAGTGACAAAGAACATTCAGATGGCAATGAGGGGAGGGGTTTTCTCCAGAGAGAAGTAACGTTTGATGTTGCCAAGAGATGAACTCTGTGGATCACAGCTGATTGTTTCCACTCTGCACAAACACAGACACAGAGCACTTGATGTAATTAAGAGGGTTTGATTTTTTGCACAATTTCCACAGCAGGGACAATTAGGACTATTGCTGTGATAGTCGGGGGCACTCCAAATGTTAACAACCAAGGATCACAATTACCTTGTTTAAAACAGAAGCTGGCCAGCTGGTAAATTATATCTGTGGGCGGTGAAAGGCTCGGCAGACCCCAGCTGAGATGCCCTCTAGATTAAATGTGGCTGTATTAACAATGCAGGTTGCTGCTGGTGCTGCCGGTGAGGGTGTGTGGGCTGCTCATGTGTCTGTTACGGGAGGCACTAATGTTGTAGACCCTGGTTAAATAGACTAATGACAGTATAGTTGGCGCTAAATTAATTTAATTCAGTTTATTTATAATGTGCCAGTCCACAACAAACGTCTTAAGTACCTTGAGTGTCACCTCTAGGCACTTAAGCATCAAAAGATGACCATATCCAATCATATTGAATGTAATTCAGTACAAATTGATTTAAAAAAATGACCCAATTGGAGTTGGATAGGAATAAAATATGCTGTTACTCCACCTTTTAACCAACACTGTGATCCCTTCGATGCTTTAAATGCATCAGAACAGGGATTGTTGTAGCCACGACTCTGCTGCTGGATTTTATTGCTACGTTGTTCAATTAAGAAATCATTTGCTCAGTTTTACAGTTGGTGGTGTGAATTTCATTCTTGAACTGAAATGCGATTAAGACAAGTAGAAATCAGACGGATGTAATCTAAACAGCTGACAAACGAGTACATGACCTTAATTCCTTTTTTCTCCTGACACAGACTTCTCACACACACACACACACATACTCAATCAATGCAGATCTTGTAAATATCCTCGGTTTCCATGTTTTCAGACTTCCTTTGTGTTGGGGAAAATGACTGCCTTGAGATTTTGGTGTTGCATCAAATCTCCATCCAACAGAATAAATGTAAATGTGATGCCGAGACCTTCGTGTCTCCTTTCTAGTGGGAGTTCATCATGTGGGTTCAGCTACACACTGGTTATAAATATTTGTTGACCTCATTTTCTTAAAAAATTAACATTTATATTGCTCCACTATGAACTCTATAAAAAAAATTTAATGAGTAAATTATTTCCATCTTTCATTTGTTTTTTCAAGTTTTTCACATTTAGTTTTTCTTTGTAAGTCATTGAACTCTGCAGTACAGTAGAAGGGTAGAAAGTCCCCTGAGCAGATCCACATACAACCAGTTCAGGGATTCTCGAGCTGCGGCGAGCCTCATGATGAGACACAAAAGCCGGTTTTAAAGCCACAATGAATGGAAACAGGCTGGCCTGATATTTCCCAGCCTGGCGTATTGTTTCCTGCATCCCAGCAGGACTACGCTTGATTCCAACAATAACACCTTATTATTAGGTTTGGATAGTGCACTGCCTTTGTTTACTGTGTTGACCCGCTTCAGTGCTTCCCAGAAGGGTGGGTGGTTTTTGCAATGAAATGGAGATCTGGGACCCGTGATTCCTCTGACAGATCTTCTCCGGCACAAATATGATGGATGAGATTTACAGAGAGGTTTGCTGCAATTCTCAGAGCTTCGGGGTTTAAAACTGATGGCGAGAGAGGAGATGATGAAGACGAGCAGCTGGGGAAATCCTTCCAGCTTCAACTTTAACTGGAGACTCCTTTTAATGGTTTATTTTTTCCTGAGAGGTTCTGGAACTCAGTGTGAAAACTGGCTGACTGGATCCACAGTTGTTTCACTTTGAGATTTCTAAAGTTGACTTACAATCCTGAAAATCTAAATTTATCACATTAGAGCCACAAACTTCAATGCATTTCATTTGGATTATATATGACATGCATTACTTTGAGTTGCTCTCATCGGGAAGTGAAGGGAAAGTTTTGAAATGTAAATAAAGGTTAGGTTGTAAAACTAAGCTTTGAGTATTTCCCAATTGTTCAATCAATCATGTGAAAATGGAAAGGGTACGGCACAACTCCAAAGCATATCTGGCCACCTAAATGGACTGGCTAGTATAAATCAGAGCAGCAGCCAAGAGGTGACCAGCACTCACTGTAACTCTTGCCCACATTAGAGTGAAGACAGCTAGACACTGAGTGCTGATTATCAATTTTTGGACACTTTACTAAACTTTGATTTCAGAGTCTAAGTCAAGTGGTGGATGAAGAGATTGATTACTTTGGTACGGGAAAAAAGGAGAACAGGACAACTATTAGTAGTTTACAAATATTCCCTTTATGGTAAAATATTGCGAAGAAAGCCATTGTTGAAGTTTTTAGTGGGCCACAAGCCATGTAGGGGACATACCAATCCATGTCACACACTTGTAGATTTTATTTTTTATACGGTTTGAAAACAAATCTTTCTTCTTCTTCACCAGTATTTACCAATCACATAACAGCAGACATTGCTGCAACAAAGCCTCATTCTTACAATTTCCCTGAGGAAAAATCCCAAAGGATTAAATAAAGTTTCTGTGTATAATTACAAGAAACCTTTTCTACGTTGTGCGATGTACACAAGCTGGTTGTTTAAAGTGAATAGAAATAAATGACTAGATGTCGACTTTATTTATGCTTTCAACTCTGTTCTAAAAATATATGGGAGTGAGAGCAACAGACTTCCTGAGAATCCTCGCATATTATCCAGAAAAGGGGGGCATGTCCAATAAATAATTTCACGATCCTAAAAAACTTCTAAAACCATCTGGTAGGAGAAACTGTCTGAGTGACTCATTGTCTCCTCTGACGATGGGGCTTCTCTGAAACTCTTCAGTCTCCTCGTGGTTGGCTCGCTGCGTCTGTCTCTACCCACACACTTAATGCAAGACATTAACATCCAGCCCTGGGGATTCTCAGAAAGCTCGGGATGCATTTATAAAGGTGGGACCTGAGAGAAACGAGGTTTAACTGCCATCACGATTCCATCACAAAAGAGTGCTGAATGTAGAAAACGGAAAGCTGGAATCATAAACTGCGGGAAAATCATTCTGTGCTATAAAAATGTCAGATGTTTACTTACACTTAACATTTAGTAAGTTGTGTTCACAAGTGGAAGAAGGATACCAAATAACCCCACCAGGTGACGGATCTGTGCAGAAAACGACTTTGTCATTCCCGTTTTCACCCAGAACGCATTAATTTATGTTTGCACAGTCTTTAGTGAGAACAGCAGGCCTGCAATGAGATGAAAGTGATTAAAAATACATTGTTGGAATTATCTCTCTCTCCAGCTTAGCGGGCCACCATTATCAATTATCCTGAACATGCCCCGCTGGTTAAACTTAGTAATTATCAGCCCGATGAAGTCGTCGCTGCAGCTAGGATCCGAGGGTGCGGTCTCAGTTGATTTATTGCCAACTCTAATGAGGTTGGAGCAACCTGCAGAACTGACTGCTTATGAATCGTTTGTGTCTTGGAGATATGGAAGTGTTTCTGCCCTGCAGTTCAATACATTTCAAAGGTAATTTGTTGAAAAGAGCTTTAACGGTTGAGCGACGCAGCAGGAAGTCGCATTGTTTTATGCATACAGACACTGAATGCAGGAAATGAGCCAAGAGATTAAAGTAACGCCAATCACGATGGAATCGCTCAATCACAACAGCCTACAGAACAAAACAGAGAAACATCACTCTCCTACTCCTCTGTACCTGTTAGAGCTGCCATTTAAGATGCACAAATTAATGCTGTCATTTATTAAAGTTCTGAAGCTCCCAGTAACTGTTTGGAGTAACAAAGACACCAAATGTGAGAACAGAATCATAGAACCAAGTTGTTAGAATCATGTTCTAGCAATTTCACTTGGCTTAATAAAATAAACCTCCACCTCCTGTGCTCTCCTGTAACTATTTGCTTTTAATTGCACATTGGTCTCAGTTTAAAGCAGTGCTTTAAGTGGGCTGGTATGGTTTTAATCATATTTTCTGGAATAGGAAAATGCAGTATTAACTTTGCCAACTTGAACAATGTTAACTTGATTATTGTTTCAATCAACAATCAAGTTGTTCTCAATTACTCCATCTTACTATTGTTTTTTTTTGTGTCATTGTTTCCTCTTTTCCCTCTGAATTTTCTGCCCTCTTTTCTTCTGCCAGATGTCTGTGTTGCCTGCACTGCTGGTATTCTTTGTTGCATTTTAAAAAGTTCCTCATTAGCAAAGCAAAGGAACGGGCTGAGCAGCCAACGTCCTGCAGCCAATCTCGTTCCGGCTCTGCTCCTTTTCTCAGACTCTTCATTTTTCCCACACTCCTCCTTACCTCGCTGTGACTTTATTTGCATGCTGAGAGCACGTCTTGAGTTTGCAGCGCGCACACAGCTTTCTTAGAATGAGTGTAAGTGATCAGAGTAGGTTGCATCACTGTGAGGAGTGTTGCTCCTTTACAACCGTTCTCCCGAGCACGCAGACAGAAACTGTTACTTACTGTTGCTGCTTTCATAGCTGTGCGTCCCGCTCCTTCCACACTTTGAGACGTTTTGAAATATTTGACAAGAAAACAACCAGTTTATGTAACGGGGCTTTAACACCACCATCAGCTCAGTTATTTGGAAGACATTTTAAAATTTGTCTGATCTTCAGGTTTAAGACTGAATCTGATGAGTCTTTTTTTTTTATTTCTTAGGTTTTGTTTATTTCATATATCTTTCTGTATTGATTGTAAATTTGAAATTGTTTGACATAAAACTAAGTTGCACTTTTTTTGCTTGGCTTTTCTCAGTAACCAGTATGATATAGAAAAAGCATAGATGTGGTGAACATAAGACTAAAAAAAATACAAGTGATTTCAGAAAATAAACCTGTAGAAATAACCAGATTTAGATGTCATATGATCCACATGGAGACCACTGATGCTGATCTGATTAGCAGAAAGCTAATGACGCGTTATAGAGTAAAATCTGGCAACCAATCAAAACATTGAGTGAAGGTCAGCAGACACCAAGGATGAGTGCAGGTGCAGCAGAAGGCTTTATCAGCACTGGATGACGGTTAATAGGAATTGTTACATAGTGAATGTATGCGCGATCTCACGGTTGTATTGTTTAAACTGTGGAACAGATTCTGTCTTAAAAAAAAAAAAGTTTCTGTTTTCTTCTTGGACACTTGTGAAGAGGGAGAGATTAACAACCGAAACACTTTTAGAGCTGTAACGTATTTTTACTTGGGTGGTTTTAAAACATTGCCTCATCCGTTTTTCATTTACATGTTGGGGACAAAATATTGACCCCTTGAGGTCAAAAATTAACCGGAAGTTCACTGAAGTTCAAATAGTGACTTGGGAAGTTGGAGGATTTTCACTGATGCAGGATGCACACTGCATAGTGAATGTCGTGTTAATGCTGAAATTATGTGTTTTTCAGAGTAAATTGTAACGTCTTTATAACCTCTATTTCCTTTACAACAGGGATGGGTAATTTCAGTCTCCATGGGATGCATATTTTAGATGTTCCCCTGCTTCTAGATCCCAGCCCCGTTTCTTTAAGACAACATGTTCATTGGCAAAGCTTTTATAGCCCAATAAATATGACTGAACAAATTAACAAAGTCCATTAGACATTAATCTGATTTGTCAATTAGTGCAGCTTCTCTGCCTGTTTTTTTTTTTTTTTTAATAAAATGTACAGTTGGTTAGACAAACCTTTATTTCACCGGGCAGAACATTAAGTATAATTTTTTATTTACTATGTTAAAATGAAAGTGCTAAAGCACATAAAAGGGGAAATATGGGCAGCTCATTTAGATACATACAATGAGCAATGAGTTAATTGCGCAAAACAATTACATGGTGCCTTAAAAAGGCCCTTTAGTCTGTGTAGAAAGACTCTTCTGGTCGTAGAACAAAATAACTGGTACATCTCACTAGGTTTTGATGTTACACCTGGAAAACCTTTTAAGTTATTTGTTTGAGTGGATCAGTGCGACCCTGTAAGTATCCTGGTACTGTCATAGTTCTGACAATGACTGAAAAGCTTTAAGCTCCTAATCCAGAACTGTTTTAGGATGTAACGCATATTGATTCCATAAAGTTCCCAGTTTAAATGGTTGATGAAATACTAACTTTAAACATTTTAAACTTTATACAGTCGTTATAAGATTGACAGCTGTGTTTAAACCCTAATCATGTTTATTAAATATTTTGTTTTTTCAGCTTCTGGTATTCAAAATGATTGATTATAAATTATTATTCATTATAAATAAAATTGAGTCAAATAGTTTGTAACCGTTTGATCCAAGGCTGTAAATACATAAAGTCTCATAAACTTAATGTTGGTATGCTGTCATTTTGCATATTTATTTATCACACAATGCCTTAAAGCTCGCAATAAATGGCAAAAAAGGTGCTTTTTTTCTATTTTTGTGCTGCAATGCAAAGTGACAGATCTGCTTCAGTGTAAAGGTCTTTCAAACAGGCAGAATCTGCTGCCACAGATACTCCAGGGCTTCACTCCCACACAGCCACAGTCTGCATCTACTGACAACAAGACACTGTAAACACTCCATGAATGTCTTTGCTATCTCCTGAGGTGCATTCAGGGTCAAAAAATAGCATCCCCTGCTAGCTGGATGCAAGAAATGCGCCACTGTACCCCGGCTCGGAGTAATGCACGCTCATATACA